AAAAATCCTAGGAAAGGGACTGAAGCTCCCAAGAGACTGGGAATATATTTATATATATATTTATAATTTCACTCCTATTACTATATGAAATCAGGGTGGATTTCTCTTCTTTTCCCAACCTTGCATATTCAGTTTTACTCACAACAGCTCTGCCAGCACCACAGATTTGAGTTTTCTGTTGCTGGAAAAAGTTAAAGTTTAGCTCAGACAGAACTGCTGTAAACATTTGGTTCAGGATGGCATATGTCTTACAGGCTAACATAATTAATTTAGTATCTACATATGAGCTACATGGCTAATGCCCTTTGTGGTCAAGGGAAGGGTACTTGGCACAGTTGGTAGAGCCTGGAGAAGGGTTTGGCATCACCTTGGAACAGCCACATTTCTGCTGTTCAGCTGAACTGCTCTCCAGACCCTTCCAGCAGCCACCTGATGTGGCTCTTCTGGGAGCCCAAAACATACATCGACACCTAAATTGAGGTGTCTAAAATGGTAGCTGCCTTTATCTGGAAGCTGACTGTCACTCAAAGACTTTTGAAGAGGGAACGATGTGGCTTCTGTTTGCTGGAGACAGCAGAGCATAAGCTTTTTCCTTATTTCTGTGACCACCATTTCATGTGCATAGGAATCGCTATACGAGTATGTCTATCATTACTGGATTAGCTTGCAATGAAAAGCTCTCCTAACATTTATAGGAAGTTTTGCAGCTAACAATATTGTCATTTGAAGCAGTCATCATTATCTTTTGAATTGAATGGCACACAAATGCATGAGGATAGTTGATACTTTACTGAACATTATAATTTGAATCTCAAAAGAAAGACAGTAAGTAGTTGACATTTTCAGTATTAACACTTCAGCAAGAGGGTTTAGAAACTTCTTGGGATAGCTTTTGTATTTTTAAAATTTCAGTTTCATTTAAACACTGCAAAATTGATTAGCAGTTTTTTTGCAAAATTCTTTGAAGATGAAAAGAATTATGTGAAACATAAACATTATTATTATTGTTAAACCCACACAGAACCCATAGGAAGGTCATAAATCCTCAGAATTAGCTGATCTGAAATTTCAGACGTATGCATTTTTATTGTACCATGTCATGAAGGAGCACAATTCAGTGAAGACAGCTTAATACACATATCCACATTGTGAAACCAAGGCACTGTGGTCAAACACTTCTCCAGATACTGGATTTCAATAGCAGCAGCATTGCTGATTAAGGCTGAAGAACAGAGCAAATTCCAGGTTCTCGTCTGTGCTGCACGGTGTATTTACATAATCATTTTAGTCTTTCCCACAATAGTCTGCACTGGCATTTCCCGTATGTATACTTAATTCAATATATGCTAGCAAATGATTTAGGCCACATCATGCATATACACACACAATGAGAGGGGTCAGCATAAAAAATAATATCACATTAAGTTCAGATTCTTAAATGAAAAATATATTGAGATTTTAAAACTATTATAGTTGCAAAAGGGATACTGCAATATTCATCTGATAGCTGTTATTCTTTTGAAGAATATGTCTGCATATTTTCCCTGGTCGTTTGGAGACGTAATGTTTAGATAGAGTATGTCCTGCAGAAGGCAAAACCAGAACTGTATTTTAAGCAATGTTCAAAAAGATGTTTAGTAATCAGAATACCTATACTTATGTTATGTGAAAGTGATAGGACTTGCACAGTGGTTTAAACCCAAAGCACAGACAATTAATTAAGAGAAAGAAAAGAACATTTTGGGTGTCAAGATAGTCAGACATCTTTTATGTTTCACTTCAGGGTTGTCCTTGGTTAAATAGTACTTACTGCAAATGGTTACAGGGTACTTTGGTTATAATTAACAGGAAGATTTATAATGCATTTAGACTCTGATTTTTAATACTGCGTGTGTGTATTAACACATTGTATTAGCAATTGTAGAAAATATTCGAAAAAATCTCCTGGTGGATATGAATGTAATTACTTCCATAACACTTCAACAATCAGTTCTCTTCCACTTGAATAGGAATAAGTATCCCTCATTGAACCATGCATGGGAAAATCTTAATGTTCTTGCTGCAAACAGTGCTGTGCCAATAAGCAGATAAATGAGAAAAGTTGGTTAACATGAAATAGGAGACACTCATGTTTGCACCTGTGGAGAGTGATGTGATATTCATGGCCAAAAGTTAGAGAAGTTCACAGGTGTGTCTCATGGCAGCCAGTGTAACACTGACGCTAATATCGCAAGTTATTACCACATAATTCTGGTTTATAACTATGTCAGTTAACAGTGTTTTCTTCTGACTGAATTACTCAATGCCAAATTATTGTTATTCTGTTAGATTTCATATACTGAAATTTTGGCTATCTAAAATAAGATGGATTTTTTTTGGCTCAAATTGGCGTCAAGAGTGTTTCGATATGTAATGATATATTGTCCATTGAAATTAAAATTAAATCTACCAATATCTGGGAAATTTCTGATTTCCTTTGCTTCTCCCATTCAGAGGGCAAATATCAACAAACAAATGCATTCCTCTACAGGGTAATTAATACAGGACTACAGATTGGAAGTGAAATCTGCGGAGAGTAATCAACAACCACAGGTCATTTTCTTGCCTGTTTTTCCTTCTGCACTTCCCAAGTGATTAGGGTTGTAACATTTCTGAATTACAGTTTTGGAATATAGCACAATGTAAAACACATACTTTTATTTTAAAAAATAGGCATGCAGAAACAGAGTTCAAATTTGAAACGGATTTTGGATTTAAATCAGAGTTGTCCTTCACTGTAGATTGCTGAAATTGTGGAGAAGCCTTTTTCCCCTGTTAAAATAAAGAGCAACAGTAAGGAAAAAAATAGTTTTGTATTTGCAAAATTGCAAAATTAAAAAATCGTGTTGGATTAAGTTAAACTTTCTCAGATTTCTTCTATTAGCCCTTTTTTTTTTTTTTTGTGGTATGGTTGTTTTTCTTTCCTATGTGACTGAATATAAGTGAGAGTAGTGGTGCACAAGTCAGTAGTAGTAGGCATAAAAAGAGGAATTATGCTTAGGTGTAGCTTGGGACATGTAAATGAATCACTGAACCATCAATGTAGATGGCACTGGCTCTTGGAGGGAGTTCAGCCCATCAGTTGTATCCCAAGTCAGCATCCTTGGTCAATACTTGCAGGATTTGGGGGGAAACTAGGTCTGCCTATTCCTGCCATTCTCCTATTCCCTTCTTTTTCTTATGGCAATCTTCGTTTGCATAGGAAAAACGACTTCCTTGGGACTCAATCTGATTAAGACACTTAAGTTTATACGTTCTCATAGCAGCTCAGGGCTGGATTCGTATGCTTGAACACAGACATCTTCTGTTGTTTGAGTATCACAGTCTCTGAGCTGTCAGCAGGGGCTGGCAGCTGTGACAAGGACCTACCGGAGTCCTTCTTGCACAGCTGCTGGATGTCCCACAGGGTTACCTGGGTATGGCAGGTGGCTGGAGCAGCTGAATCAAAGCTGGGTACCCAAGCTCCCAAGGAAGACCTAAGCAACAGCATCAAAAGCATCTATAGGGCGACTCCTTTCACGCTAGGACACACCGGCTGGCATGGCAGATGCATAACTCTGGAATCTGCTGACTCGTGGCTCCCTGGGCTGTCCAAGGGAGCCTGCACACGTAGCTGGCGTGCTCTCTGCTACTGCAGGCACTCAAATCCTGACCTCTTAAACTGCAGCCAGAATCCCACCCTTTGTGTATCCCCTTTTCTTTTCTTTTTGCAAAGACTAATCTAGATTGTGGCTAAGTTTAAAATTTCCCCAAATGTCAAAGTTACATAACTTTAAGGCTTTTCTATTTTCAGAAAAGACAAGGTTTACTTTCAAAAGAAGCAGAGGCTTTGAGTGGGCTGCTCTTGTTAGAAGTTGGTGAACAAGCCGTCTTTGGAAATGGCACATAAGAGAGGTGCACAGAGCTGTAGTCTGAGTGGATGGATGCTGTCACACTGTGTAGCCATGGCTGGACTAGATGAAAAAGGAGCACATTTTACTAATGGAAGGGAGGAGACAGCTGAGTGCTTCATTTTGAAATGATGACAGAGCATTAAATTGGTCTGGGGAGACAATGTTGGGGGGTGTTTTTTTCAGTTCACTGTGCATGTGTGTGTGGAACATCAAATTTTCTAAAATGCCAAAGAAACTTTGAAGCCCAGATCAAATTTTAGTAATAGCTTTGTGTGCTTTTTAAAATATGACCTGTGCTCAATTTGTATTTGTCGGATTCCTAAATGTCATCTGTTTTTATCTGTCACTTTTTATCACACAATTAAACAAGTGCACCACGATACAAAACCCCGGTACAGCATCACCTTTCATTTGTAACTTTAACATAAGGCACATGTTGTTACTTCCTGAGAAGAAACTGCCTACTTTTGAAAGGTGCCAGATTCAGTTTGTTTACATTTTGAACAAAACCTGCACATTTGAAATGATTCATACAAGAATCTACTTCTGCTGTTTACTGCATGCATGCATACATAAATATATATATGTGTGTATGTCCTATCCTTTAGGAAGTTTTTGAATTGTGAAAGAAGTAGATTTTTGTAGTATTGGACCAAGAAAGTACATTAAAATTCCTCTCTGAAAACAGGCATTAGAACCATTAAATGTGTTAGGTTTTGATAGAGTGCAATACAATATGAATAGTGTCAGGCCTTTCTCAGACAGGCACAGGCATCCTAAGATGCATGAAACAGCGTTTACCAACAGCTATAGCTTGTCATTATTTAACTTAATAATGAAAGAAAAGACAGTGGATAATCAGACTTCTTCCTTAAAGACTAGTGTTGATTGTAGCGTTGCTTCGATCTAGGCTTCAATATCCAAGGTAAACCCGAGCCTCCATGACAAAGTGAAACTGGAAACACTTCAGTGGTTTTCGTTAAGATGGGCTGCCTAAAGCGTCTGCTAACTGCTGCTTTCAAATGATTGGGGGGGGAAATTAGTTTCAGCCTTCTTTTAATTTTTCAGAATTCAAGCAAAAACTCGAGAATTTCGAGAGAGACAAGCTCGTGAACGTGACTATGCAGAGATACAGGATTTTAACCGGACGTTTGGCTGTGATGCGGACCCAATGTACGCTGGCATTGCTTCCTATGATTCTTCTTCAAATAGTGGCACAATAACACTGAACACCCGACCACAGAGTCCAAGGGAAGGGCAGACAGTGGAAGCCTTGTACGCCCAAGTGAAGAAACCACGGAATTCAAAGTCTTCACCTGTAGACAGGTAGGCACCAGGCATCAATCAATACGCTCTTTCTAAATCCACCATGGTAATGCTTTTGTCATGGGAGATGACCGTACACCAATTGGAAAGTCAGAACTGCATTTTTATTAATGACTTTTAAAAGCCTTTATGTAGGAAAGTATTGAGCTCACACAAATCAAACTGTAACAGAGCAGGACGTGAAAGTTATTTTCTGCAGAGACACTGCTTTTCTTCTCGTTCTTTAGATGGTTTGGAATTTTGGAGTCACCATTTGGTATAATTCAAATTACGTTCAAAGCTGTAATGTCATCTGGTTTATTTGTCAGAACTCTAATTGATATGACTGTGGAATACATCATTTCCAACCTATTCATGGCAGTTACAAAATCTCTTGAAAGATCTTACTTTTTAAAGCAAAAGTAGGTTAAAGCTTACCTAGATTCTAGTCCTACCATAGTCCTGAACTTCAGTCTAACAGGTGGAGCTTTTTGATTACAGACCCAAATGAGTAAACTCCAAGCTTGAGTCATTAGTTACTCCCTATTCTCAGGCTGTAGCTTGTGATTTATACTCTTGCTGTGGTTACTTTATCTGAACTAAGTCATGCTTGGTTTTGTGCTGAAATTGGGCAAAATTCTGGTTTCTGTCGATGGAGTTTTGAGCTCATTTGAAAACCTGAAGATAAAATAGGCATGTAAACTAACATAAAGTAGAAATAACCAAAGGCAAAATTCACAACTTTTTTGTACTTTAAAAATGAAAATACATCTGTTTTCTTGGCTTACATCTATGATCTTGTTCTGCATTTTCTCAGCTTTACAAAAACTAACACTGAAATTCTAGTGCAGGAGGTATGGTTAACTCATTCAGAGGTTATTAATTTAGCTCGTAGTAAAACCACTCGTTGTTTTGTTTTCTACCCCATTCTTTCTGGAAGAAAAATACTGGACTTTCAGGTAAATATGCAAAACAATGTCTTTGGTTGCAGTGTTAGAGATCTGTATAGCTCTAGACTGGCATTCATCTTGCATAGTCTGTTCTGGGTGGTATTTGGTCTTAAGGAAAGTAGGTGTCATAGAATCATCGAATAATTGTGCTGAGTTCAGCTAATTGTCTAAAACTTTTTAATTGAGTACTGAGATCGGTGTATTTAACTCTCCACTAGATCTATTTTGAAAAGTTCTTTTACATAATATTGGTAAAAATATATCCTCTAACATGACAAATAAGAGGATTTCATATGCATTGTTGAATGCATACATTTTAACTAAAATTCAGTAGTGAAACTGCCTTTTTATTGTCTCAATTGCACTGTTCTCTTGTATTGCACTGTGTAAAAGGTCTCTTTTTCATATAAAATAAAAATAATTTATATATTGTGGTTATGTACATTATTTCAGTGAAGGAAGCAAAATAATTTTAAAAGATGACAGCTTCATCCGTGCCCTTGAAATTTCTTATTCCTTAGCCTTATATTGACTGGCGCTTGTATGCCCAGGTGCCTGACATTTCAGCCCTTTTGTGCCTTTGGAAATCAATATAGCCTGGTTGGATATAGCTGCCACGTGGTGAGTCTCACAGCTGTTTTTGTTAGAGCAAAGGCAGTGTTTCACGCCAGAGCTGAATGGCATCAATGTCACATCAACAAAAAAAAACGAGTCCTTTGATGCAAACCTGGCACAGCAAAATATAAGATCTGTGTGACCTAGCTAACTCTGTGTGATTGCTGATAAAAGAGCCAGGAGAGAGTGAGTAAAACTGAAGATAACGGAGTACGGGGACAATCTGATGTTAATCATAAGGGTAGGACTAAAGAGCAGTGTGGCAGTCTTGCACATTCAGGCTGCTCCTGGTGCGCAGAGGGCCCCGTCTCTCACAGCTGGATCACGCTGTGACAAAAGGAAAGACCTGACACACACAATGAGCTTGAGCAGAGGGAGAAAACACAGGTCGGGGACTAGAACTGGGGCAAGAAGAGCTACCCCGAGTCCTGTGGTAAAGCAGGGCACACTTGGCAAGACACAGCTGGAAAGAAATAGGCAGTGCAGATGAAAAAATATTATTATTTACTAAAAATGTCCTCTAAAGTACCTGTTTGGGGGTCTGAGGCATGACGTTGTCTAGTGTATTGGGTTTCCTTCCCTTTCTCCTCACACTTTTGTTAGCAACCAAACGGCAGAGCTGGTGAATCCCACCTGGCTCCAGGAGATGTTTTTGGAAACACTGCAGCAACTTGCACAATCTCAGGCTTATCTTTAATTCTCCCAGAAGTCAGATCTGTACCTCAGACCCGCTGCTGAGAGATCACGTTGCCTGCTTTGGCGTGGGGGAGAGACAAAGGCTGGGAGGGAGCAGCTTTCAGTATTCGCAGACTTGTGTGAAGGACATCTGGGAGCTTGACCCTGCTCAGCAGGAGAGCCTGGATTGCAGCGAAGCTATCTTCCCAAGGCTACTCTGTGTTTTGCAGGCTTTTCCTTAGATATATTAAGAAAGTGTCACCTGAGCATCATTTTAAGAAATAGTTGTGGCTGTGTGGCCCTGAGATACTTGTTAACTGTGTTGTCTCCCCATCTGTAGGATACCTGCCTCCCCACCCCATGTGCATCACTTCTTGTTTCTTGCTGTCCCTTTCCAGCACTGAGACCTTCCCCCTTCACTGGGCGTCTCTCAGGATGCTCCTTCCTACATCAATTGTCCAAGTGCCTCTTCATGAGGCTTTTCTCCAGGGAGCTCTCTTCTATACAGTCTGAATCATCCTAATAATGCTACAAGGCATTTGAAAAGAAATAGTTGCTTGCATTTCTGCATCCTTAAAATATTTTGTTAGCATTCACCTGCAGTGAGTGTTATTTTCACTGTGTTTTACCCCTTTGCCCTGCCATCCTTTCCTTTCCTCTGGACATTTCAGAGGTTACCTGAATGGAAACAGTCGCTTCCAGTCTTTGTGGATGGGAAGGGAAATCACTCGCAGTGTGTTAGCCTCACGCTGAACTGCCAGGAGCTGGTAATGGCCAGGCTGTCTCAAATCTTTAGCACGTTCATATTAAACGCAGTATTGTTTATATGGGAAATGTTACTTCTATTACAGTTTGGTGGTTAGTGCCAAACAAAATTTGACATTTAAGTATGTCCAAAAGGTTATTTAAAAGTCTCTTACAAAGAAGCCTATAACGATATGTCCCATAATAGTTTGCATACCATTGCTGAACACTTAGGACAAATTTTTCCTTAACTTGCAAGAGAATTACTGCGCCTGTGTGTGAGGCCTTGTCAGGGTTTGTTTCTCTTTAATTTTCCTTCAACTTCTCTCTTATTTTCATCAACACATGCCACCAACTGATGTAAGTTTAACTGTGTCATGGCATATGAATGATAACAAAGTAGAGGATAAGTATGTAAATTGCTCATCAGAATAACAGACGATTTTATTTTATTTTTTGCAAGTTTAAGAATATTATGAGGACAATGATTGTAGTGCTTCACCAAATGATGGTACCGTCAAGTTGTCAGGCAGAGGTCCCACAGTAACCTAATTTGAAACCAGCATTAGAACTGTTGTCTTCATTCTCCTTCTTGGATGTATTTTATATTTGCATGTATCCCAAGCACTAAAATTGTAGACAGATAGATAGTACAAAATGGTAAGAAGAACATGGTTCTTCCTTAAACAGTTTGTCAGTCTGTTCTCTAAATTAGAAAGTGGATTGTATAATGCCAAAATACAGCAAAGGAGAAAGAGATGTTAACTTACTCATTGGAGACCTGCATATCTGTATGTGTGTAAATGACATTTCTTTACCCATCTTACCAACAATAGCTATTAAAAAAACCACCCTGTAAATAGTAAGCTTTATTCAAAAATATCCTTACAGGACTTGAAGCTATTTTACAGTTGCTTTAATGCAGATTTTTGTTGGGTCAGAGTTAAATCATTGATGGATACTGGTGGGGTTTGGAGGGGGTATTGTTTGTTTGGTTTGGTTTTTCAGTGACAGTTATTATTTGTTAAATGGGTAGTTTAAATATGGGAGGTTCTTTATTTTGCCCTTCTTATGTAACCCATACATACAAGTAGCTCCTGTGAATCTTGAAACACGTTTTAAATTCTAGTTATGCTAGTCATAGCAAGCGTAGCACTCACTACAAAAAAGTGGGTTTCTCTTCTTGATCCTAGAGAATGAAAGCAGATTCTCTTTCTTAACAGAAGAGGAGTTTGTTGCTCAGAAGAAACGATGCTTTAGCAATAAATAAATAAATAAATAAATAAAATATGTTAGGAGTGGTTGATGATCAGTATAGCTGCATGTACATCAGTTGGCCTTGCAACATTAGCTCCATCCTATGTATTGATAGCTTACAGAGACAGGCTGATGAGAAGTTTTTCACTTCTTATGTTAGGCATTAACAGAGCAAAATCCAGGTGGAATGTATAATCTATATTTATTTTACAGTTCAGGAAAGAAGTGTCTTGAGAACTGTGTTCTTGTGGATAAAGCTTCTAGCTTACCTGGAAAATGTCTCTAGTCTGTTTTGCATCATGCAGAAGAGAAGCTGCACTACTGATCAACAGTGTTTTTCATGTAGATGACAATGATGCTATACAATGGGGTTGTATAGCCATCACCTGACATCCGTAGCTGAGCACTGGTGTAGAAAGACAACTCCTAATGGACGTTTACTAGCTGTCACTCTGTAATCATTTCCCACCATGAGTGCATTGTCCTGAAATATAATTGAAATAAAATAGGCACTGTGCTGCTGTAAATCTAAATAGCTTGAAAATAGTAGGCTAGACTCCCCTAGCTTGCTGTGGACATTTTAATGGAAACATAAATACCATAATCATATGCTTTTTGCATGCATTTTGCGAATAAAAAGAAAAAAATGTTCATTTTAGAAAGGGAGACCTTTAGGAACTGGTTTTCTTTTCTATCAGAATTGGAATCCAGTCATGTCAAAGGAATATTTGGGAACTGAAAATAACCCTACTTGCTTTAACTGTCATCTGTTCAGTGTGA